ATTAAATGGATAGGAAATGTGGATAATGGAGGATAATTTTTATGAAAACCATCGCCATATTCTAGGAAGAACAATACTCGATTGTAGTTGCTGAGTGTGTAACGTTCTGTAATGTTGCTTAAGGTTCTTATTATTTTTTAATAATTTTTTAATCAATTCAATTATAATTCATACAATGTGTGTGTGTGTGTGTGATGTAAAGCCTTTTATAAATAAAAGACATAGAAAAATGATTAATTTTAAAAATAATAAATAGAAAGTCTTAAAGTCGTTCGGGGCCGACTTTATGATACCCTACACCACTTTGCTAATTTAGTAGAGCTGCGCATAACAATTAAAAGTTTTTATGGGAGAATTCAGTCATACACACTATGATTATAATTATAATTTAAAGTTCAAGGGACTAAATATGCCGAAGCATTTCTATCTTTTAAATTCGGACATGTAATTTGAAATCGGATAAAAATATATATGGGAGCTACATCCAAAATCGGAACCGATCTCGATAAAATTTGGTAAAGATATTTCTGAGCTGTATCTGATATATTTCCCTGAATATCGTTGTTACGGAGTGCATATTACGGCTGTTGGTAACAAATATGACAAATCGGATGAACAGTATATATGGGAGCTATTGCAATATCTGAACCGATCTTCACCAAATTTGATATACTAGCTTCTAGACTCAATTCGGTCGTAAGTGCCAAATTTCATCCCATTTGGGAAAATATTAAACGTTTGGGGCACAATCAAAGGTAAATTGGACGAAGTCATATATGGGAGCTATATCCAAATCTGAACCGATCTCGATAAAATTTAGAAAATGTATTTCTGAGCTGTATTTGATATATTTCCCCAAATATTGTTGTTGCATATTACGGCTGCGGAGGACAAAAATAACAAATCGGATGAACAGTATATATTGGAGCTATAGCTATATTTCAACCGATTTCGATAAAATTTGGCATACTTATTTTCAGGTCCAATCTGATCGTACGTGCAAAATTCCATACTATTCGGTAGTATGATATTACACGTTTGGTGCAAAATAAAAGGCAAATCGGACGAAGATATATATGGGAGCTATATCTAAATTTTGACCGATTATCTCCAATTTCAATAGGGTTCGTCCTTGGGCCAAACAAATGATTTCATCTGGATAGGGCAATAAATGCGAACTGTACTTTGTTTACAAAAATACATGGACATGCATAAATCGACTCAGAATGTGATTCTATGCAGATCACCAAAAGGAACTATGGGTCTATCTCGTTTCCTTTTGCCTGTTACAAACAAATGCACAAAGACATAATACCCTGACCACCTTGTGATGTAGGGTATAAAAAGTCAAGTTATCATTTGGTTTTGCAGACAGATGTATAGCCCCAGCCTTGAGTTATGATTATTCTGACTATTGATATGGCAAATATTGTCAAATTCGTATCTGACCTAAGTCTGATATAAGTATTACAAAGTATCATATTTGGGATATATCGTCTAATTCCTATACTTTATGTGAGATATGTGCAAATTTTTGGAAAATCTGGAAAAATATAGCGGACCGAAATATTCCACTTCATCTAATACAAATAACAAATATTGGTATGTGCAAATTTAAAGGAAATCAAGCATTTATATCCAATTTTATACGAAATCATAAATTCCGAATAATTACATATTCATATCAGATTTCTGGCTAAGGAAAATATATAGATAAAGCAAGTTTTATAGAATCGCCGACTTGTTTCGCAATTATGACAGATATAAGAATTGGATATTGTGAACATTTATGGTTGAGGTACCAGAACGAGGAGTTGGCAGATATTGAGATGTGCCAAGTCTGAATGGAATCGGATGCTCATTTCCCATTTTATTAGCTTAATGGATATTAAGAATTTTGACCTTTTGTGGGAGAGGTGCCAAAGAAGAGTGCACCAATATATCCCCTTTTCCCGGAAGATATTGTTTTAGTAAAAATAATGGCATGTGTGAAATTTGAAGAAAACCGGATGCTTATTTCGGATATTACGATCGTTTTGGTTCTTCAAAATGTTGACCCTTTCTGGGGGAGGCAACAGAAGAAATGGGCCCATCTCTACCATCTTTATAGCAGATCTTGTGTTGATAGAAATATTCATATGTGCCAAGCCTGAATGTAATCGGAAGTTAATTTTGCGTTTTATCAGCTTCATGGACATTTAAAATGTTGACCTTTTGTGGGGGAGGTACCAGAAGGAGTGGAAAACACTGTGATGTGTGTCGTTTGAAGATATCGGACTCTTACATTACATTTTATAAGAGTTTTAATTATTCAAAATTTTAACCCTTTTTTGGGGAGGTACTTGATGGAGTGAACCGATATTGTTCATTTTCGCACATGACCTAAAACTGAGGCAAATTTTAGAATTTGGAAAATTGGAGCAAAATCAGATTATCTTTTCTCTTTTTGTGCAGTAAAAAATTTCTTTGAAAATTTCGACCTTTTGTGGGGGAGGTACCAGAAGGAGTAGACCGATATTGCCCATCTCCGAACTCGATCTAAGTTTAACAATAATATTACGATGTACCAAGTTCGGACACTCCCTTCAAGAGTTATCGTGCGCACCAGCCAGACAGAGAGATTCCAAATGTCCTGAAACGGTTCTGGCCCAAATAGACCTAGGGTCTCATGTTATATAATTTACAAGCTTTCCAAATATATTCTCTGGTTAGGCAGACCAACCTTCTAACCACACTTCTCTATATAAATTCGTGGATTTTTAAATTGTCTTGTCTTAAAGCGCCTAGAAACTAGAATATTTTGGCTCCTTTGGTTAGAAATGGATATGCAAGCCTCTATGGAAACAAAATTAGACCTGTGTTCAATATTTTTCCGATGAGTAAATTTACCCACATAGAAAAGAAAGTTGTCAAATTACAGCAGATTTGACTTTTTTTGGTAGTCGGAGTAAAAATAATGCTGCACCCCTGCTCAACCTGGTAATCTCGAGGTACCTTTCTATCCGGAAAATTCCCAAAGATGGATGGAATGTATATTCAATATTTCAGCAAAATTTCAAAGCTTTATCTTGAATAGTTGGAGCTGCATCGGGACTTCAACTGAGGCACAGACAGACACACAAGACTTAATCGACACAGAATTTTACGCTGATCATGAATATATGCACTGTACGGGGTATCCGACGAATATTTCGATGTGACAACTTTAATGTACCTTCCCTCTAATGAAAGAATGTCTAAATCTATCCCTCGCATTAACAATCTTCAATATATTCTCTCTATAACACAGGGGTAGATATCCTCGGATAATGTTACCTTCTACACTTAATAACAACACCTATTTTAGTTCGACAACATCTGTATTTGCTGGCATTTTTTTATTATTGAGGAGGTTAAGAAACTCATTCAGCCCAGAAATAATTACATTGTGGCTGCATTCATTCACAACCTGTTTAAACAACGTTTCCGTATACGAGTCTATATTAATCAGATCGCCTCATTATTCAATTGCTTGACGCTATAATTAATTTGCATCGTTTACATTTGTTTTTTTTATGGACACATGACGTTAAGTCACTGGGCAAAACACATGCAATGCATTCTTTAAATAAAAATAATTAGTAAAAGCCCATAGAAATGGATTTAATATACACCAGTAAGGAAAAGTCAAAAGTCAGGTGGGACCGACTATATGATACCCTACACCGCTATTCATATTTAGTAGAGCTTCCATTACAAAGGAATTTATTTGAAGTAGATCTGACTACTTATCTACATTTGACTTCGGAGTAGTTATAGTTTGATTTCAGAGGGAACTAATATATGGGACGCATATTCAATTCTGAATCGATTTTCACTAAATTTGACGGAGACATTTTTATCTTTTATACAAAATAACATTGCTATAGAGTGGATGATATCACTTCGAGAAAGATTATATAAAAAAATTAAATCGTACGTCCCTAAATTCACTCCATTTGGGCTGATATTAGCCATTATTTGCACAATAAATTTGAAATCGGATTAAGGCTATGGGAGCTACATCCAAATCTTAGCCGAGGTATTTGGCAGAGGTATTTCTGGGCAGTATCTGATATCTGGTAACAAATATCATTCTTGTGGAGTACATATTGCGAATGTGATGGACTTATATTTTATTGAATAAAAGCAAAAAATGTCCGAAATAGCATCAAATTTTAGAATAAGTTTAGATTTGTTCGAATTGGTCAACTTTGGCACGAATTATGGCCTTCAAACAACCAATGAAACCATCACACGCTGCCCGAATGTTGCTCTGGGGTATTTTGGCCCATTCGCGGTGAAACGCTTGCTGCAGGTGATCGAGACTTTGGTATTTTTTAGTGCCATCATTGGTATCCGAAGATTTTGGTGGCCATTGTGCGCTGGAAATTAAAATGGAATGAGGAACCTTATTTTGTAACCATTCTTCGGTGGCGCGTGTTGAGTACGATGCTGCCTGCCGAGTCCTGTTGGAATGTCCAAGGTCTGCGGCCGAAATGTTTGCGTGCCCAAGCCTTTAATACACCTTCCAGAATATTTTCGTGATAATATTCGGCATTTATTCTGATGTTGATGATTTATGCCGAAAGTCATAATACCCTTACCACTATGAGGTGTAGGGTATAAAAAACTCCTCGTCATACATTTTTTCTGAAAACATGCCGTTTGGGATCAATGTTAGAGGAAAACCAGACATATAAAAGAAACCTATTTTCCTTGGTATTAGGCAACAAGTTAACACTATCTTTCAGAGATAGTACATAAACACAAATTCAGTAGAAGCAAATAAAAAGAAAGTTAACAAATTAAAAAAATATTTCTATATTTTGATCAAAAATATTTTTTTAATGATTGAATATTTAAATATAGATTTTTAATTGAAGTTATAAAAATAATGCCGTTTTTATATCCATATTTTTTAATTAATTCTTCAATTCACAGATACTAACATAATTTTCTTCTTCCCTAACCCTTTCCAGGTGAAGACTGCGATGTTGAACATTTAGATCCCAAGAAAACCGATCCCGAATATTTCGAATACGAATGTCTGACTGTTGAAGAAGTCGAAAAGCTACTCAATGAATCTGTCGAAAAACTAAATACAATCCTACAAATAACGCCGTCATTGGCCAAGGTGCTGCTATTGGAACATCAATGGATAAATCAGGTGGTAGTTGATAAATATCGACAAAATGCAAATTCGTTGCTGGTGGAGACGCGTATAAAGCCTGCTTGCAATAATACAGATCCCTCACTGGAAGTAGAAAATGTGGCGGCCACGACAAGTGCTGCGGCGGCGGCAGCAGCAACAGAATCTTCCTCGACATCATCGCCCACAACAACAACAACGACAGTCGTTGTTACACCACAATCTCTGGGTACCCTAAGCACCTATAGCAAATCTCCAACTACCACACCCACAACCAGTAACAGCAGTAGCAGTTTATCACGTAGTCAAATGATGTGTCCCGTATGTGCAACAGTTCAGCAGGGCGATAAATTCTATAGTCTGTCCTGTGGCCATTCATTCTGCAAAGATTGTTGGTCCATGTATTTCGAAACACAAATATTCTTAGTAAGTTGAAACGAGGAAGAAGAATGGAATTGAAAGATTTTGTAATATATTTTTAATTTTTTAGGGAATTTCCACTCAAATCGGTTGTATGGCTCAAATGTGCAATGTTCGTGTTCCTGAAGACTTGGTGCTCACCCTGGTAACACGTGCTGTGATGCGTGAAAAATACCAACAATTCGCTTTCAAAGACTATGTCAAGTCACATCCGGAATTGCGTTTCTGTCCCGGTCCCAATTGTCAAATCATTGTACGCTCCCGGGAAATTGCCGCCAAGCGAGCAGTGTGCACCGCATGCGGTACATCGTTCTGTTTCAAATGTGGCATGGATTATCATGCGCCCACAGATTGTCAAGTCATCCGGAAATGGCTTACGAAATGTGCCGACGACAGTGAAACGGCTAATTACATCAGTGCCAATACCAAAGACTGCCCCAAGTGTCACATTTGCATCGAGAAGAACGGTGGCTGCAATCACATGCAGTGCTTCAATTGCAAATATGATTTCTGTTGGATGTGTTTGGGCGACTGGAAGACACACGGTTCGGAATACTATGAATGCTCACGCTATAAGGATAATCCCAATATAGCCAATGAATCGGTACATGTGCAAGCCAGAGAAGCCTTAAAGAAATACCTCCATTACTATGAACGTTGGGAGAATCACTCGAAATCGATGCAATTGGAACAGCAGACATTGGACCGTTTACGTCAACGCATCAATGAGAAAGTGATGAAGGGTCGTGGTACCTGGATTGATTGGCAATATTTGTTTAATGCTGCTGCATTATTGGCTAAGTGTCGTTATACATTGCAGTATACTTATCCATATGCCTATTTTATGGAAAGTGGTTCCCGCAAGGATCTTTTCGAATATCAACAGGTGAGAAGGGGGTGGAAGTTAAATTATTTTGTTTTGGAAGGGATTTAGAATGTGTGGAGACTTGAGAAGTTTTCTACAGATTTTGACAAATGACCAAAAAAAGGCAGAAGGGTCGCTTTAGGCAAGCAGAGGGGACTTTTTCCACGATCTTTAAGTTGAGAAAATAAAGACTTTATAGGCCATTCAAAGATTTCTTTATAGAGGAACATCAGGGATTGCAAGACTTTGAGATGACCCAAAGTAAGTTTAAATAGACGACCAGATGTTATATTTTTGTAGGCGACCACAAGGGAATGGTTATAGCTGAAATTTTATGAAATCATAAACTTTGATAAATTACATATTCATATCAGATTTCTGGTTAAGAGAAATATTTAGATATAGCAAGTTGTAATAAATCGCCGACTTGTTTCGCAAGTTATGATAAATAAAGGTATTGAAAATTTTGACCCTTTGTGGGAGGCACCAGAAGGGGATTGCTGATATATAATCTTCAGCAAAAATGTTTGTATGTGTGATATTTGGATAGAGTTAGATGTTTATTTCGCTGTCTTTAAGCGTTTTGTTTGTCAAAATTTTGAGCCCTATACTCCCCTACATAGAAATGGTTCGATTTCTACCATCTTTATAACAGATGAATAAAATCGTATGTTGATATCGAGTTTTATGAGCTTCATGGATATTCAAAATTTTGACCCGTTTGTGGGGGAGGTACCAGAAGGAGTGGACCGATATATTCCATTTTCACACCAGACCTTAGGCTAATAAAATAGTCTTTGAAGAACGCGATACTAGAACTCTTAGGGGTTTCTTTATAGCCAAGCTCTGAACAGGGTCATTTTTTATAATCATTGGCTGAAAACATGGTAGGCGAAGTGTGAAGGAAGTTCTTATGCAAACGAAATTTATCATTTTCAAAAAAAAAAATTAAAGTGGAGAAGTCCTGACTCTTCTAAATGGTCTCTAAACAAAGTCCTCGAAGGTGAAATTTGTATACATAAACTCTGTAACGAATCTCTATGCGACTAGACAGGAATTTCTAAAGAATTTTATAACTGAGGAGCACTGACTGTTGTCTTTATAGTCAAACTCCTAAAAGAGTCTAAAAATAGTCGCTGAAGGTAGTTCTAATAGAAGAGGTCTGACGGAAAATTTTGTATTCAAGCCCTTGAGGGACACTTATTAACGATCAGAAGCGAATTTCTAATAAAACGGTTATGAATGAGGAATTCTGGTGGAAGTCGTTACAGTCAAGGTCTCTTACAAAACTCTAGAGGGAATCCACCGACTAGATCCGATTTTCTGAAGCGGTAAAATAGGAGCTCTAATGGGTAGCTTTAAAGTCGAGCTCCGATGAGTTATAAATGATCTTTAATAGTTGTCTCTGTAAGCTAAGTGTTTTCCACAAACTCGGGAGAGAATCGGATGGCGACCAGAAGAGCATATTTAAAAGGAGTTGCTCTAAAGAGTGCCATAATGGTCTGAAGGTAGCCTTTTTAAACAAGCCTTGGAAGTAGTATTTAAAAACAATCAGAAGGTGATTTAAAGATGACCAAAGGTAAAACTTAGTAGACAATCTGAAGCATAGCTGAACAGAGTAAAGTAACTCCTATAAAATCGACCTGAATATAATAGATGTCGTTGTTGTAACAGCAATATATATTGCGGTTGCATTTTGCTAGTCTAATTCTCACTCAAAATTCAAGAATTAGGCTAACTTCACAGGTTGTGGTCAAAGATCTTCAAGTGTGAATTGGGTAGTTTTCACAGGGCAATTAAAGTGGTACAGCAGGCAGCCGAGGTTATTCAGCTGCAACGGATGGGGAAATGTAACAGCAGTGTTTTCAAAGGGAAACAAAAGAAATAGAAGACATCTTTTAGAAATAAGTTTTTTAGGATGAACAGAAGAGTCTTACATAGAAGCTGAAGGTGTTCTTTATTAACGAATTTACAGATTTTTGCAGATTAATAGGGGAAACTTTTTTATCATTCTCTTTTGCTTGCAGGCTCAACTTGAGGCTGAAATTGAAAACCTCTCATGGAAAATCGAACGTGCCGAAACCACAGATTTGGGTGATTTGGAAAATCAAATGGACATTGCTGAAAAACGGCGCACTACATTGCTCAAAGACTTCTTCCCCGTTGAAGCCTAAACTTCCAATTCTATACAAAGAAACAAAAAAAAAACAAGGCTTCAATAGTTTAAACGCGAACAAACAATTCAAGTATTTAGATGAAATGATAAAAAAACATAACGCATGATAATACAACAACAATAACTCCTTAGTATTTGCCAATAACAATAATCATCATCAGCTCCATATATATTACCAGACCATATTTAATTTAGTAGTTAAAAATCAACCATAAACAAAAGCAGATTTTTTGTTTTAAAACTCAAAACATTTTTTTTTAGTTTAAACTGCAATATAAGATTTTTAATCTAAACCTTTAATAACTATGTATAACAAGAATATAGCTTAGGCCATATATAAATTAATTTTAGTAATATTAACGACAACAACAAAACAAGAAGTGATCAGAGTTTGGTAGAATTTATTTAAATTTAGAAGGAATATGCATTTCGAAATAAACCATGACAGCCTACCTTTTCCCCCCTAGACCACATGTTCACCACATACATACACATGTCTCAAATGCACCTAGAACTTTTATAACAAAAAACAAAAACAAAGAAGATAAAAATACATACTCATACATTTTTTATAATTAAAACAAGAAGAAAAAAACTAAAACTTATAATTAAAAAAAATATTAGGTTCATTAACAAATTTTAAAAGGAAAAAATGTAGCTATGTTTTGCAAAAAAAATTATTAGAATTCTCTTGGAAGAATAGACAAAAAGAAACTATTTGTATTTGAGAGTAACAAAAAAAACCAGTAATTCGTCACTTAGCAATGAATTTTGGCATAAATGTAAGCAAAAAAACAAACAAACGAATTTGGCCTTTGAGCCAAATCCCTAATGTGTATTATTTGTAAAACGAAAATTTCGAAGACAACAAAAAAGTATTTTATAATATTTTATGAACAAAAATTATTTGTATGGGAATATTTTCTTGTAATATTAGGGACTAGTTCAAACTTTTTTGTAATATATTTTCATTTATCTGTTCATTTTTTCATCCACTTCTTCCTCTTCTCTCTTATCCAAGCTGTCTTTTAGTTGTATTCCTCTCTTGAGTTTTCTTTTTTCATTCTTTTCATAAAAATATTAAAATTGTGTATTGCTGCAATACATATTGACTGAAAAGCAATTTGTTTTACAAAAAAATCTATATGCTTTAATTATTATTTTTTCGATTATTTTCTGTTATACTAATTTTTTAATTCTGTAAAAACACCAACAACAAAAGAAACTATATATTTTGTGTTCCTTTTCTTAGAAATTGGCTTTACATACTATTGTACATTTTTTTTATAATTATTATTTTATATATGTAACTAAAATATTTTAAGGAAAATAAATTTTAAATATTCATAAATAAATGTGATTAAAAATTAAATATGTTTTTTATATCAATGATTAAAGGTTGGGTTATACTAAAAATGTTTTCGAACGTCTATAAGAGATCGACTGCATGTTTATAGATGCCATGCTTTGTTTATAAATGCCAACACTGTGTACTTTTTATACCCTCCACCATACATAGTATGGAGGATATATTAAGTTCGTTATTCCGTTTGGAAATAATTTTAGACCCAATAAAGTACATATATTTTTTATCAGCGTAAAATTCTAAGGCGATTTAGCACTGTCCGTCTGTTGTAATCATGATACAGTCAAAACAAATTAAGATAGGAATCTAAAATTTTGCACAGATCTGTCCAATTTGAAGATGGGTTATATCGGCCCACGATATCGTATAGCACCCATATAGCGGTACCCCCCGATATTAGGTATTTTGATGATTTTAGCCACATTTTCAAATTAATTGTCTGAAAATCTACACAAGGAGTTCTTTGTGAGTATTTTACCCCCTAACAGAGCATTGTCTATATAGGTCTACGATAATGTATATCCCCCATTAACAGATGATTTTAGCCACTTTTTTCAAAGGAACTGTCTGAAATTCTACACATGGAGTTCTTTGTGAGTACATTATCCATTATATTAAGATAATAGTATATATAGGTTCACGATATCGTATAGCCCGCATATAACTGTACCCCCGATATTCGGTATTTTTATGATTTCGGCCAAGTTATTCAATCTTCTAAGTACTTTACCACTTTGAAGAGAATTGTCTAAATAGGTCCACGTTTTAGTATAGCGCCCAGATATTCGGTATTTTCATGATTCTTGCGACATTATTCAGCGGAATTGTTTCAAATTTCGTATATAAAGTTCGAAACCGTTACTACAGAGTATGACACCAATAGCCCCCATATAGCGGTATATTTCGAAAGATTTTTTTTTTTGGAAGTTTTTCAAGTTTCTTCCAAATGGTGGAGGGTATAAAAAACTTAGCATCTTTTTTACTTGTTCTCAATAAGCCAGCAGAATAAGAATTTGGCATGTGAGGATGATTTAGAAACTATCGAGTATCTCTTTTATTACAACATCAACGTTTCAACAGCACGCACAGATTGCTTGGTGTTGTGAGCTGGAATTTTTTCCCACCTGAAGTTTGGGGATACTATAAGCCTGAAGCCACATTTTGGCTTTCAATATCCTTGAAAAACTCAATCTACTTGTTCTTAATAAGGCTGCCATCAGAGCGGCTGGCTGACTGGCATAAGATCCATGAATAGGAGATGAGTGAATAAGGATTTGTACTGTAAGGAGTAAATAGAGACTGTGAAGCATCTATGTTATTGTTACTCCAAAGTTTTAAACAGGAAGCACAGGCTGTTTACTGTTGTGAACAACAATCTTCTTCCGTTGTTGACTGTGGGGATACAGATAATATGCGCATTTTATTTGATAGAGGTCTTAAGGGGATGATACATTGGCACCTTAAAATAAGGGGAAATTTGGTAACATATAAGAGAAGGATCGGCTCTTCCATTCTTCGTGTTTCCTTATAATTTAACTTTTATTCGCAATGCGATGGTGCCGTAGCTCTCAGCTCGTCGATAAAACCACTTTCCAGCCAAAACAAATACATGCTAGTTTAGAACAACTTCAAGTTCGTTCAGAAAGAATATTTTCGTTTTGTTAAGAAATACTCTCTAGCTCGTGTAGAAAGACCATCTTTATCTCCTTCGGTTTTTCTATGAAGACTCCGTGTTTGTACAAGCGTTTCTCGGCTAGTTCGCTCTACAAGTACTATCTTTTCGCTCTACAAGTACTATCCTTAAAACAACCTTAAATCAGATTCGTTATAGGTATTAGATATATACGATTTGGAAGGAACATTCACCTACTTTTCATTTTTCTACGGCTCATCTGCGGAAAGACTACATAAATCTATTTTAGAGAAAGACACAATTTAGATCGTACATATTGACTCCCTTTAGATCGAGTCAATAAATAACCTATCCAGATCTAGTCTAGTCACCTTCTACCCTACCAAAAAGACTTTTTCATTCTCCTAGAACATAACTAATATAGGCTCCTTTAGCTTGTTTTCTCTCATATATAAATACACCCTTAAATTAAATCAGGACATATATCTATATCACCTACCTTTCATTCTTCCATGTTGAACGTTGATTGTTTTTAAACTGGCAAATGTCCGAATGAAAAATGCTCCAATAGATCCAAAGATATGCACGACTACGATGATAGGTTTATGACCACATACAGCACGGAACGACTATCAAATTCACGAGACTCGCGTATATCTGTATCCGATTCGAATTTTCCGCGAAAAACAATGAATTTTACTAATTTTCTTTTAATAGTTCACATTTTTAACGGACCGGTCGTTAACGGACGCTATTGAAACAAATGAAAAACGTTGATCGTTTTTAAACTGCCAAATGTTATATCCGACTGAAAAATGCTCAAATGGATCCCGAGATATGCACGACCACGGCGATACGTTATCGACCACATACAGTACGAAAGGTCTATCAAATTTACGACACTCACGTATATCCGATTCGAATTTTCAGCAAAAAACAACAATTTTTTCTAATTTTCTTTTAATAGTTAGCAGTTTTAACGCACTAGTCGGTAATGAACACAAATGAAAAACGTAGGTTGTTTTTAAACTGTCAAATGTTATATCCGACTGAAAAATGCTCAAATGGACCCCGAGATTTGCACGACTACGGCGATAGGTTATCGACCACATACAGCACGAAACGACTTTCAAATTTACGACATTCGCGTATATCTGAGTCCGATTCGAATTTTCCGCAAAAAACAACGAATTTTACTAATTTTCTTTTAATAGTTCACATTTTTGACGGACTAGCACGGTAGCGAAGGCAAATGAAAAACAACCGTTATGTTAATTTGACGCGGCAAAAGAAGTCCTCGGTCAAGTGTTTGGAAGAATAACGCCGTAAATTTTCAACTCGCCAGCAGTGTTTTGATAAAAGGATAAACAGCGTTACCTAATGGTAAAATATTTTGTACGTCCATATTACTTACTAAAAGCGTTGTACAAATAGATAATTTTTAAGGTTTGCCCAATTGTTATATATTACAAATACAAATATTTAATTTTTTGTATTATTTGTATCTATTTGCAACACACAACTGCCAACTTTGAAAATGTGTACGTATTTTTTAACTTTATTATTAAATTTTGAAGTCTTCAGGGTTTTTTTTTTTCTTAAATTTAAACATATATTAATATTGTCCAAAATATTGTAATTATATTACCACGATTACAGAAAAATGTCAAGCTTTATGTAAATGTAAAAGGTAGTCTCTGCGTGAAATGAATCTTCAATACAAAAACCGATTTTCGTTATCCATTTTTTTATTTCAATAAATTTTGTTTTCGCTTGTAACAACGAAATATGATATATTTGCCCGAAACATTTTTTTTCTGTCGGAAAGATGTAAAAACCACTTGATTGTGAGGTAAAAACGATCTACAAATCCCTACTGCTTGTTTCTAACGTTTTTCTATTTTTCTCACCCTATGATTTCATGGCGATTTTTTCGCTCATTTAATGAATTTTCCAGTTGATATCGTTTTCCTCATATCTCGTTCGTAAACAACAGAGGTACTCGGCGTTATGCTTTACACTCATTCGTAAACTCGGGGATCTTGCTTTCTGTTTATTTTTTATCGGGCTATTTGTTTTTCTTATTTCTTTCGTTTGGGACGTCTTTCATTTTGGTTTCCCAACGTCAACGTTTTGGAAGCAGCTGAACCACCTCCGTACAAGAAGAACTTTGAAATTGGACACATTGGTTCAATAGGATCATCAGGATATTCATATATTGGAAAAACAGTGAGTAAAATCACAAATTTCCAAAAAAGTATATATTCAATTGGGACAATTGAGCAGAGCTCAAAGATTGAAAGACATTTGGGAAGACTTCTCGAAAAATCATGGCCAAGGACGAAAAATCCTCCAAGAAGTCCAAACGCGATAGAAACCGCGACAAACCTCCAACAAAGGTGAGCATTGTAGATTTTTCTAAACTAAGAGAGACACTATTTAAGATGAGTTTATATTCTTAGATTGTAATACGTCATCTGCCGCCGACCATGACTGAGGATGAGTTCCTGAAGCAAATTGATCCACTGCCTGAACATGACTTCTATTACTTTGCTGCCGCAGATTGGTCACTGGGCTTTGATGCCACTTGTCGGGCCTACATAACATTGAAGAATCCCAAGGATGTGTTTTTGTTCCGCGACCGATTTGATGGTTATGTGTTTGTAGACAACAAGGGCAATGAATATGCCGCCATTGTGGAATTCGCCCCATTCCAGGGTTTCCTGAAAAATAAATCACGTAACAGTGACAGCAAAGTGAATACCATTGAGCAGGAGTCACACTATCAACAATTCCTCAAGAAATTGGAAGAAGATCGTGAAGCCGCTGCCAAGGGAGGTGAAAGTAAATTGGAATTCTCTTTGAATCCCAAAAAGGAAGAAATTACCTCAACACCTTTGCTGCAGTATTTGGCCAACAAAAGGGAAAAACATCGCGAGGAATCCAAAAAACGTACTGCCGAAAAGAAGAAACGTCGTGAGGAGGAGAAAGAGAAGGAGAAACGCAAACAGGCTGCGCCTACACCAAGTCAACCGGTTAAGGTTTTAACTTCGGATAACTCGAACAAGGCAGCGGATAACGCGGAACAGAAGCCCAAGAATGCTCGGGCACGTCGTAGAGATGAACGCAATCGTTTACGCCATGAGGCATATTTGCAAAAGAAGAAAGCCCAAAAGGAAATGCAAAATACTAAAGATACTGAGCCGGCAAAAACGACGTCCACCGAAGATGCCACTCAAGGCAAAGCAAAAGCAGAAGGAAAACCTTTGGAGACTTCATCGAAAGAGAGTGATGTCAAAGCTACTTCGTCCTCAGCAGAGCCCAATAAACCCATTGAAATACTTAAGAAATCGAAAGCTGTGGATATGCTTACCGAATCTGTTAGGAATTTCATTATTACTGCGGCCAATACTCTCACTGTACCACCGGCCACATCAGCGGCAGATGGCCAAGTCGATAAAGTCACCGGTAGTAATAGTGATGTAAACAAATGTAAAGAGGATTTGGACAAGTCCCAGGAATCTTCTCATAAATCTGATGTTTCACAAATCAAGGCAGCCACTGGAGAGTTGGATAATGATAGCAAAGAATTCTTGGCTTCGCTGACTGAAAAACAAAGGGAGGAACGTCGTGAAGAAAGACGCATACGTAATAAGGTAATTCCATTTCTTTCCTTAGGGGAAAGCCGTCCGAAATGTTAGTCTACTATGAGAGTACCATATGTTCTTAAATTTTCAATGTCTTGAAAGACTCCTTTCAGCTCGAGACAAGAAAGACACGATCAACTCCAATTTAGAAAGACTATCTTAGTATGGTCTGGGAAGGTACCTCAGAGTTCTTTTAGCTTGTTTATCACATCTATACGTTTATACGAACTTTTCTATGGTTGGAGTACCTAGGCTTCAACGAGAAAACTATATAATTTTCTGTTTGATAATTTTCTTCTGATAACCTATAAGAAATCATTCTACCTTTTTAAGGATAATGTGGTCTTTTTGAGAAACCCATCTGGTATATACCAGAGAAACTGGTAGAAACCCATGGGAAGTCCTTATACATTTTTGCCAGAAGACGTTGTGGAATTCTTTGAAAAAGACGTTTTCCTCTGAATGATGAATTTCTTTTACTCTGTGAGAAGACCTTCACTTTTCTATGGTTGGACTACCTATGCTTCAACGAGAAAACATAATCATTTTCTATAAGAAATACTTTCGGTCCTACATGAGTAAGCCATTTGATACCCCAGAAGGAATCTTTCCATATTTCTAAGAGATTTTATGGTCTTTTTGAGAAACCCATCTAGTATCTACTAGAGGAAACTGGTAGAAAACATTGTGGTCTGGGAAGTTCATATACATTTTTTGCCGGAAGACTGTGTGGAATTCTTTGTCAACTGCTTCTGTCTTCTCTGGAACTCTAAACAAAAATTTTGTGGAAGTCTTTCTATTATTTGTTGGAAGTTTTCGACAATCTTTAATTATTTCATAAGAGTTCCTGTCTTCTCCGAGTAGAACTTGAGGATCGTTTGGCTTCTTAACGAAGATTTCGTAGAAAAGTGTTGGAAAACCTTCTATTTTAGTTAAGTTTTGCTGGTCTTCTATAATAGGATTTTTGGTCTTTTAGCAAAACGCTTTCTTTCCATTCGAGGTCCCTCTGGTATTCTACATGTAAATAGCTTTCCACATAAAGTTTAAATTCCATGAGATTTTGTGGCGTTTTAAGGAATTCTGATTCCATATGGTCTTTCAATCTATCAAACTTAGATCGGGTTCAGGTATGAGCAATATTGGTCCATTTCTTCTGGAACTTACCCACAAAAGGTCAACATTTTCAAAAAAAAAAAAAAAAAAAAAATTCTGCAAAGAAAGAGGAAGGATTTTTCCTCCAACTTTGCAAATGTCAATATTTGCGTCAGTGCTAGATCAGGTGAGAAAATGAACAATATCGGCCCACTCATCAAGTACCTCCCCCAGAAAGGGTCAACATTTTGAATAGTTACAACTCTTATAAAATGTGATGTAGGAATCCGATTGTCTTCAAAATTTCATACATCCCAATATTTTTATTAAGCAAAGGTCTGGTGTGAAGATGAAATATATCGGACAATATATTCTTGTACCTCCCCAACAAGGCGTCAAAAATTTAAATATCCACCAAGTTCATAAGACTTGAAATTAACACCCGATTCCATTCAGACTGGGCACATCTCAATATTCCTACCAACACAAGATCTGTTATAAAGATGGTAGAGATCGGACCATTCCTTCTGGCACCTCCTGCACAAAAGGTCAAAATTTTGAATAACCTAAACGATCATAAAATGGGGAATAATCATCCGGTTCTCTTTATATTTCACACATCCCAATATTTTTATTAAGCAAAGGTCTGGTGTGAAGATGGAATATATTGGTCCACTCCTTCTGGTACCTCCCCCACAATGCGTCGAATTTTTAAATATCCACGAAGCTCATAAAACTTGAAATTACCATCCGATTTCATAAAGACTTCGCACATCTCGATATTATCATAAACACAAGATCTCTTATAAAGATGGTAGAGATTGGACGCTTCCTTCTGGTACCTCCCCCACAAAGGGACAATGTTTTGAATAACCAAAACGATCATAAAATCCGAAATAAGTATCCGGTTCTCTTCAAATTACACACATCCCAATATTTTTATTAAGTAAAGGTCTGCTGTGAAGATGGAATATATTGGTCCACCCCTTCTGGTACCTCCTCCACAAAGCGTCAAATTTTTAAATATCCACGAAACTCATAAAAATGCGAAATTAACATCCGATTCCATCAAGACTTGGTACATCTCAATATTTTTTATAAGCACAAGATCACTTATAAAGATAATAGAGATCGGACCCTTCCATCTTGTACCTCCCGCACAAAGGATTAACATTTTGAATAACGTAAACGATCATAAAATCGGAAATAAGTATCCCGTTCTCTTCATATTTCACACATCCCATTGTCTCTACTAACACAAGATCTGCTGTGAAGATGGAATATATCGGTCCACTCCTTCTGGTACCTCCCCCACAAAGGGTCGAACTTTTGAATTCCAATGAAGCTTATAAAACGCCAAATTAATATTCGATTCCGTTCGGACTTGGTACATCTCAATATTTCCATCAACACAAGATCTGTTATAAAGATGGTAGAGATCGGACCATTTCTTCTGTTACCTCCCCCACATAGGGTTCTAGATTTTTGGAAAACAAAAATCATGTTGCAACATAATTGGGAAAGCGAGAAAGGCATCCAACTCTTTTCAACATTTTTCACACATCCAAATATTTTTTCTAATGCAAGATCTGTTGTGAAGATGATATATATCTGCCAATGTCTTCTGGTACCTCGCCCACAAAGGGTCACAATTTTCAATATTTGTATCTGTCATAACTTGCGAAGCAAGTCAGCGCTTCTTTACAAATTGCTATATTTTAATATTTCTCTCAACCAGGAACCGGAGATGCATCTGGAATTTATGATTTCTCATAAATTTGGACATAAATGTTCGATATTCTTGTAATTTTGCCTAAACCAAAATTTTTATCTGTATTAGATGAGGTATGAAAATAGAATACTTCTGTCGACTATATATGGCAACTCGAGCACACTTTTAACATTTTCAAAAAAATTATCACATATTTCATATAACACGAAAGAAGTAGTCGATATAGTCCAAACCTGGCACGTCGCAATATTTGTATCATATTTATTTAAGTCAGATACGAAATGGACAATATTGACCCATTCCTTCGGAACCTACGCCATAAAGGGTCAACAATTTGAATAATAATAACAGAAGTCAAAATACATTTAAATAAACGAACATTGGCTGAGGGTATACATCTGTCGGCAAACCCGACTGACATTTTTTAACTAGTTAGGAAGTTTTTTGATATTTTCAGCATATGCTTTGATGTTCATTGAGCAATCTACCTAGTTAACTATGATTTACTGCGAGAAGACCATGCTAGTTACATATGATTTCATATTCCTATCTTTTCTCCCATTCCAGGATCGTCCATCGATTGCAATCTATCAACCCAAGCCACGTCTACGTTTATCCGAAGAAAGCGATTCGAATTCAACCTCCAAGGATGTACGAAGTCTTTCGCAATCCGATTGTGAGACTGCTAAAAAGGATGAACAGCCACGACACAAAAAGGTACAACGTTATTCCGAGCGTTCCAAAAATCGTAGGAAATCCACAACAAAAGATGCTGGCAGTGAAGATGATTATCAAGCAACGGCATGAAAAATATAAATACTTTTGAGTCATCCACATTATGAACGTTACTATATGCAAACATAATATTTCAAAAATAAATGGTTTTAAACAACAATAAGTACCACTCAAAACTTTTTTCGGGGAAAAGCAATTCTCTTATATTCTCCGAGCTTTTATCCTAAGCAAGGATTATGTGGATTGTGTATGGATGTTATGGACTACAAGTGGATGTTGTAGAAGCCAAGCTACTTTTTATGGATTGCAAGTAGATCCCATGCAATGTTTTATCCATGATATGGATTTTGTGTCCTTGGATTCCAAACAAAACATCCACAAAAGCTTTTGGCTTATAACACCTGTTGCATGCATTGCCATAAAACTTTGAAAGCTCTGTAAACAGCTGGCCCATCCACAGGCGCAGACATTGGACAGATGGTTTCTTTGTAATAAAATGTTTTGTTGATATGAAATCAGTCTATTGCGGGAGTCAGAAGCATACGGTTCAAACTGATACATTAAACGGAGGACCATAAGGAATATTTCAAAAAGGATAAAATTTAAACTGGCGCCCATTTAAAATTCTTTGAATAGATGCATTTCTTTTGAAACAAATACACAAGAAACAAAAAAGGAATAATAATAATCATGATATAAAAAATAATGAAGTGGGGGAAAAAGTGAAAGCAAAGAATGGATGAAATGAAATGTTAAGGAGGCATGTAATTGATATGCAATGATAATAATGATGATAATGATAAAGTGAATTTAGTTTAATGGAATTTCAAATGAAGATATAACAATTCCAAAAGGATAATAATAATGAGGCTGGATCTCACTAAGTGAAGTCTCTTAAAAAATAAATGAAATTGTTAAAAAAATGAAAATAGATGAATATGAAAACGAATGCAAATTATTAAAAATGAAATCTGTTATGAGTGAAAAGTTGTTGCTGCTATTGTTGTTGCATTCTACATTAGCAAATTAAAAAGAAAAACGTTGAAATTTCGTCTGCTACATTTGCCATCATCATTAAGGATAAGAATAAATTTCCCAACAGACTAGGACGGATTAAGCAACAGAAAAAGGTAATTTATTTTACATAATTTACTCATTAATTTTAATTGGTAGACTAACTAGGCATTACTTGGATCATTTGCATAAAAATAGAAAATTTATTAATTTTTGAAGGTTTGTTTTTCAATTGTGTGAACTCAGTACTATGGTTCAAATCTTAAATTAACCCTTGAATTATTACAAACAATTGCCGTCCTACATGAGTAAGCCTTATGATACTTTATATGGAAAACTTGTAAAAAACGTTATGGTCTTTAATGGGAAGTTCTTATACATTTTTGCCACAAGACTGTGTGGAATTCTTTGACAAGAGTTTCTGTCTTCTCTGAAAAGAACTTCTGGCTTCTAAACGAAGATTTCGTGGAAGTCTTTCTTTTATTTGTGGATAGTTTTTGGCAATCTTTAATTCTTTGATAATAGTTTCTATCTTCTTCGAGTAAAATGTAATGTCTATTATAGAAAAACGGGTTGACTTCTTAACGAAGATTTCGTAGGAACTGTTGGAAGACCTACTATTTTAAATGTTTTGCTTATCTTCTAGAGCAATATTTTCGGTCTTTTAATAGAAGATTTTTCGACATGTTTTGGACTTGCAGAATTTCAGATATTTGTGGAATCTTTTATTTAGTGGATTATGTGGCAACATGATCTTCTGAGTTCTTAAACAAAACGCATTGTAATTTTAAAATGGATAATTATATGAAGGGATGGAGAGCTGGATAATGATATCAAAATTTTTTTTTAGCTTTGCTGAATGAAAAGCAAAGGGAGGAACGTCGTAAAGAGAGGCGCATACGTAATAAGGTAATTCAATTTCTAATGTCAAAACGACTGTGGAATATTTTCAATAATCTTTCAACATCAGCAGAGACGGTTTCCAAAAGTAAAGCCGCGTCACATAGGCCGAAAAATGGCTCGTGAGCTGAACATATCGCAATACTCCATTCGGCAAATATTAAAAAAATGATCTCGGGGTAAAGCCATTGAAATTCCGAATAGTGCAAGAACTTACACCGCAACAGAAAGAAAATAGACTCAAAAGAGCTAAAGAGTTGCTTCGCTTGGCCGAAAGTGGTGAACTGCCGAATTTGGTTTTCACCGTCTTCGATGAGAAAAAAAAAAATATTCTTGTCCAGCAGTTGGTAAACAAACTAAATTATCGTGTTTACTTGCCAAAGAGGTCAGCTGAAAATGTGCACCTTCGGTTGGCCACCAGAACTCAAGCACCGGCCATGGTGATGGTGTGGACCGCCATAACAGCCGATGGTCGCTCTCTGCTCGTATTAATTGACCGTGGCATCAGAATAAATGCCGAATATTATCGGGAAAAATTCTGCCGCAAGCCTTGGACACGCAAACATTTTGGCCGCAGACCTTGGATATTCCAACAGGACTCAGGAGCATCGCACTCAGCACGGGCCCCCCCAGAATGGTTACAAAATGAGGTTCCTCGCTTTATTTCCAGGGCACATCGGCGACCAAAATTTCCGGATACCAATCCGTTGGACTATTGTGTCAGGAGTGTTTTGGAAAGCAAGGTTGGCACTAAAAAATACCAAAGCGTCGATCACCGGGAATGAGCCAAAATACCTCAGATCAACATTCGGGCAGCGTGTTACGGTTTTATTGGCCGTTTGAAGGCCATAATTGGTGCCAAAGGTGACCAATTCAAACAAATCTAAACTTATCCTAAAATTTGATGCTATTTCCGACAAATTTTTTTGCTTTCATTCAATAAAATTTAAAAGAAACTATAAAAATAATGGCGTTGACTTTTGTTTTTTATCTCCCCCTGTATTTGTTAAAAATTCGGTATTAGTAGTTCGTAGTGGATGAATCCGTTGACAGAACATATTCCATATAGTTCCACGCTTTTACATAGCCTCGATATAACCACAGCTCCCGACAATCGGGTTTTTAAAAATATTTTCCTTACCCCCTGGTGAAGGGTATGAAAAGTTCGGCACTTGACGTTTTTACTTTTTTGTTTGGAATTTAAAAATTTTGAATTTTAAATGGAATCATTCGAACTAAAGATTGGAAAAATTAATACGAATGAAATAATGATACAATATATACAAATGTTACGAATCACAAATGAAATTCCAAAATCACAATTAAAATGTTTCGAATTACATCTGAAAAAGTTAGGTTTCTAAATCAAAATCTGCTATACCCTCTTTAAAGCATTTGTAGAGTAAATATTACTGGAAACCCAAATAAATATAAATTTCTTATATTTTTATCTTCCCCCTCTTTTTTAAGTCAATCTGATTTTTCTGAAATTCCAATCTAAATATATGGTCATTTAATGCATCACTTAAAACTTGAGCCGCCTCTTCAATTTAAATTTTTCTAATGTTGACCTGCTTTTCCCAATAATTTCACTCAACACAGATCAACCTTCCATCATACATATATTTCCCAAAACTTCCACAGCAATTCTACTTAAAGTTTTAAATATGCGGTCACTTCAAGCGAAAACACTAAACCATTCAACAAAATGACTGACTGACTACGTCGGCATATTTATGGCGAACTCAATGACCATAAAACGTGAAGCACTCGTAAAGTGAAAAAAAGAATGAAAACTGATGAATCCTTTTGCCTGCCTGCCCAGGCAACATGTTTAGAGCCTAGATTTTCAAAATGGGTTTTAGAGGAGGAACTGCACGCCGTATTTATTATTCATGTCGTTGTTTTCATTTGTTTTGTTTTTTTTTTTTTTTTTGCCGACAAAGGTTTTTGGCAAAAATTGCTTTAGTTTTATGGGTGATAAACTGAAATCTAGTTGGAGCAAACGAAAGGCACACGTGCAGGGAATGACTTTCCATAGACTTGTTGACTGCAAGCTGACAAAAGAGATTATATAGTTAGGTGGTCTGTTATGGCGAATAGAAGCAAAACAAAAAACATTTCAAAAATTTTTAAATATTTCACAGGTGAAATAAAGATGCTACATAATGATTATATCCATAATACCTATTTAGATCCTACACCACAAGGTGGTCAGGGTATTATGTCTTTGTACATTTGTTTTTAAGAGGCAAACGGATAGACCCATAGTTCCTTTTGATGATCTGCATAGAATCACATTCTGAGTCGATTTATGCATGTCCGTCCGTCTGTCCATGTATTTTTGTGAACAAAGTACAGATCGCATTTATTGCCCGATCCAGATGAAATTTTGCACAAATCATTTGTTTGGCCCAAGGACAAACCCTATTGAAATTGGAGATAATCGGTAAAAATTTAGATATAGCTCCCATATATATCTTCGTCCGATTTGCCTTTTATTGTGCACCAGACGTGTAATATCAGCCCGAATAGTATGGAATTTTGCACATACAACCAAATTAGGTCTGAAAATAAGTAAGCCAAATTTGGTTCAGATATAGCTATAGCTCCCATATATATTGTTCATCCGATTTGTTATTTTTGTCCTCCGCAGCCGTAATATGCACTCTGTAACAACAATATTTGGGGAAATATATCAAATACAGCTCAGAAATACCTTTGCTAAATTTTATCGAGATCAGTTCGGATTTGGATTTATCTCCCATATATAACTTCGTCCGATTTACCTTTTATTGTGCACCAAACGTCTAATATTTCCAAATGGGAGGGAATTTTGCACATACGACCGAATTGAGTCTAGAAGCTAGTATGTCAAATTTGGTAAAGATCGGTTCAGGTATAGCCATAGCTCCCATATATATTGTTCATCCGATTTGTTATATTTGTTACCCACAGCCGTAATATGCACTCCGTAACAACGATATTCAGGGAAATATATCAAATAAAGCTCAGAAATATCTTTGCAAAATTTTATAAAGATCGGTTAAGATTTGGATATAGCTCCCATATATATATCAAATGGGCAATACAAGTCCGAATTTAAAGCATACAAATACTTCAGCATATTTAGTCTTTTGGACTTTAAATTATATTTATAATCATAGGGTGTATGATTGAATTCTTCCATAAAAACTTTTAATTGTTATGTGGAGCTCTACTAAATTAGCAAAGTGATGTAGGGTATAATAAAGTCGGCCCCGCCCAACTTTAAGACTTTTTTTACTGGTTTCTTTTGGCGTTATGTACCAATTTTCCTTAACATTTTTTCCACAAGAGGAATGAGAAAATATGTATCTACAAGTAACCTTTAGTGGATGTTAGGGTTATAAAGTTCCCTCTATAAAGATGTGGGAGTGTCGAAAATTTATGCTACCACCAACATTACCGCTTTACGAGCCATGAACAAAGCAGAATCTTTAGTGTTGTTGCTTTTATTGTAAACTATCATCTGGGGTGTAATTCCCATAATCGCTGGCTTATTTTATGTGCCACCTCTCTCTCTTTCTATGCCGTGGCATATTTCACTCTCTTCCCACATTATGTTTAGGTTTTCCACACATTCCTTTTCTTTTCTAGAACCTTTTTGGTGGTAAACCACAGGAATTAAACATTGGAAAACGTTTAAAGACATTTTGTTGTTTTTTTTTTTTTTTGCTTTGAAGATTTAACGCCGTGAGACCTCAAGAAAGAACTTACGAAGTAGCAGAAATAAATATCCTTCATTTCATGGCTTATTCAGATGGTTGCTAATACACAATGTTTAATTGCTTCCATTCCACAAAAAAAAAAAAAAAACAATTAAAAAGCTATAAGTTCGACCGGGCCAAACTTTGAATGCCCTCCACCATTTGGAAAGAATTTGGCAATTTAAAAAAAAAAAATAAAATCCTTTAAAAATTCTGATAAAATCTTAAAAATACCGAATGTAGCCGATGTATTTGGGTCTATACGATGACGTGGACCTGAACAGACAATTTTCTGTCATAGGCTGTAATATCAATTACGAACTTCAAATACCAAATTTGAAACGATTCCGGTGTATAATGTCACTAATATCATTGGGCTATACAAAAACTTGGACCTAGATGGCCCAAAAAAATTTTTAATTTTTTTTTGAATTTTTTTTTTGAAAAATGTTGGAAATAGCATCAAA